ATAATTTCTGCACTTCAGGGACGACTGCCTTGTGTATTCTTAACCCTGGCAGATTTTACAAGAATTTCTGAGCCTTGAAAATCCTGTTTTTTCCTCACTGGGGGTTTCATTTTCTTTCCCCAACAAAATTTTAAGGCAGAGTTTGGAAAGGCGAGGAGCCCCTGGAATTGCGCTGGAATTTGGGTGGAATTCCCTGGTTTTAGGGGCATTGATGTCTCCTCATCTCCAGTTGAGGGGGATGAGATTAAATCTTGAATAAATAAAGCACTTCCAGAAGGGATTTCAGGTTTGTCCCAAAGCTTTGGCATTAGACAGGGAACAGTCCCAAAAATTTGGGATTAAACAGAAATAGGGAACAGTCCCAAATATTTGGGGTTAAATAGGGAACGGTCCCAAATCTTTGGGGTTAAACCGGGCACAGCCCAGAGATTTGGGGTTAAATAGGGAACAGTCCCAAATCTTTGGGGTTAAATAGGGAACAGTCCCAAATCTTTGGGTTTAAACAGGGCATAATCCCAAATCTTTGGGGTTAAACAGAGCAGTCCTAAATCTTTGGGGTTAAATAGAGCAGTCCCAAATCTTTGGGGTTAAACAGAGCAGTCCCAAATCTTTGGGGTTAAACAGAGCACAATCCCAAATCTTTGGGGTTAAACAGAGCAGTCCCAAATCTTTGGGGTTAAACAGAGCACAATCCCAAACCTTTGGGATTAAACAGGGCATAATCCCAAACCTTTGGGATTAAACAGGGCATAATCCCAAACCTTTGGGGTTAAACAGCGCACAGTGCCAAATCTTTAGGTTTAAACAGAGAAGTCCCAAATCTTTGGGGTTAAACTGAGCCTGAACTTTTGGGGTTAAATAGGGAACAGTTCCAAATCTTTGGGGTTAAACCGAGTAGTCCCAAAGCTTTGGGGTTAAACTGAGCACAGCCTCAAGCTTTGCGGTTAAACAGGGCACAATCCCAAATGTTTGGGGTTAAACCGAGCAGTCCCCAAGCTTTGGGGTTATACTGAGTGCAGTCCCTGGGCCATCCCTGCACTCTGTCTCTGGGTTTGGGTATTTTATGGGGTATTTCTGGGGTGTTTTGTTGGAGCAGGAGCTGGGCCAGCTGTGTGGGACGGGCCCAAGAAAGGCAAGGCCGGGCTCTGTGCGTGGGATCTGCCCAGCATCACCTGCTCCAGGACAGCCTGGAATTCACCGGCACTTCCCTTCCCAGCCCCCTGTGCTGCAGCCTCGGGAAAAATTATCCTTTCCCTCCTTTTTTTGGTTCTTTTTCACCCAAAGCTGCCCTGGGTAACTGCAGTGTTTGTTATTTTGTATGTGGAGGCTGCTGGTCACTGGGGTCAGTGCTGGTCATTGGGGTCAGTGCTGGTCAGTGGGGTCAGTGCTGGTCACTGGGGTCAGTGCTGATCACTAGGG